ATCTGCTGGTGGCTGGCAACCCACCACCCTTCAGCACAGACGGCGGATCCTATCCGACAGACAGGCGTAACGCACGCCGTGTCACCGCGGAGTTCTCACGGGGCTGGTCAGGACATGGAGCCAGCACCTAATGAAAGGCTACGGCATTACGCCATGCCAGATTTTAACCCGCCTCACTGCAGTCGGGGTGATTAATCTGAATGAGATGTGAAAACTAAACACAAAGTACTAGGGAAGCATGTGAAGATACTGCGGTAAAGTGTTCATGTAGTTACTACTTCTTTTAAGGGACCAAAAATGTCCTGGTTTGTTTTTTAAACTAGCTGCACAGAAATCTTGCCTTTGTGTGAAACAGCCAGATATGCAATTAGAAGACAATGGAAAAAAATTACAAAGGTTATGCAGGCTTTTCAATTCCTCAAGGTTTATGACAATAACATCATTTCTGCTGGCTTACAGTTGTAAAAAACTAATGAAAGCTGATGTTAATGTTAGCTAATGAAAGAGCTACTTCTTGAAAACAAGTCTGATGCTGTAAAATACAGCTTATAGAGGAAAAGGCAAACCTCTGATATACCAGATTGATTAACAGAGAGACTGGTAACTGCTTGGACCTTGGGTAAATAGTCATTGAACAACTTGCAGAGAATGATACTGTTCAGTTGTGATTAGACTGAAGGGGATTCAGTCTGGCATCCTGATTCTGAAAAGCTCAAAGTCTTGTAACACTTAGCATGCACATGATCAATATTTTAGTCTTATTTTTTAAAGTTTGGGATTAGCAAGCATAAAAAGAGTCTTTTTTGATGCCAGCTTTAACATTTAAAAAGAAAGTTATTCATGGCTAAATCCAAAAAAGGCACATGCGAAACCAAGGTCACTCCTGAAAGGCACTCCTTCGAAAGGGGCAGGAATCACCCTTCAAGGTTTAGACACTAACTTTGGGTCTGGGAAAGCTGAGCTCAACTTTCTGCTCTGCAAGGCTTTGCCCATGTGCAGGCGGGGAAGCAGCGAAGCTCCTGTGACACATCAGTCCTCTGCGTGTCAGACACAGGCAGTGCTGTCACAGCCCTCCAACGTGAGGACAGCAACAAACATGGAAACAGAAGGCAGGGAAAGACCTGGGCAAGCATGTAAAACCTTTCATAATTTTACCCCAAATCACTATGTCCTCTTAAAACCA